TACAAAATCTCATTTTAAAAACTGATATTTTACTTATACTAAGCCTAGTAGTAAGCTTAGTATTATTTTTTATTTTTTTTTTTATATTTTTTTAATTAGGTATTTTTTTGTAAAAATCCATTAACAGATTAGTCCATTAGAATTATTTTGTTTAATTTCGCCACCATATAATGTATTTTTTTTTTTTTATGCAACTTAGAATGGCAAATAAATTGATAGCCCACGTGATGGAAAGTGGTAACCGTCGCCTATAGACATGAACAGTACCATGGACATAATAGAGTATACTGGTTTACGTGACTCAAGTGTTATTCTTCTATACCCTGTAAATTCACTGCCATATCCCACCCTTTAAACCGAAACACAGCTATGTAAACACAACTGCTTCACGGTAGAAACACAAAAGAGACAGAGGTGCCCAATCAAACGACTTTTGTTAAGATTTAACGATTTGTTATAATTAACGATTGCAGAATTAGAATTATTTTGTTTAATTCCACTATTATATAATGGTGGCAGAATTGAACAAAATAATTCTAGTCGACTAACCAATCTAACGATCTGTTATGATGATAAATTGTATTCTATTATCAAAGGAATAACGATCATAAGCACTACTATCGCAATATTTAATTTCGTTTACCGCAATAAATAAGTTATCTAATGAATGGCCGCAAGGCGATTACTATTTAACTGATTCGTGACTGTTCAACAATTTTAGCACGCTCTAAATGACGCGACGAGATCTTTGCTTGATGTTGCAAAATTTGGTGGGAATTTGTTAAATAAATTGACAATTTTGTGGTATTACATTTAGCAGTTTACAGTACAGTAAAGGTATGAAAAGGGACCATCAATTATGAGTATAAAGTCCACTCTTTGCTTGTTATTTTATAGCATCTTAACAGTTGAACCGATCATTTTGAAATTTGATATACACGTTATTTATGGGATGGAGGAGGATCGTCGTCATCCTCCTATTCTTATCCCAATATTATTTAGGGTCCGCGTAATATGGTTTTATTCATATTACAAAAAGATTTGGCCTTTAGTTTTCGCCTGCCTGACGTCAACCCTCTTTGGAAATACATTTGGTGGTTTCCTCCACCTACGGTAAGGAGGAAAGGATCGAGGAAAAAAGGAAGGGAACGTTGGAAATGCATAAAGGAAATTGATAAATGAGAGGAACAAGGGACTTATGTGGGAAAGGAAAGGGGAGAGACAACACTGCAGTTGCAGGAAGAAGGATACAATGTAAATATAAATTGGACTCCTTTCCGTATTCAGTCTTTCATTTGGGTCGTTGTGCGTATGAGTCGTGGAGAAGGATATAGAGCACTTTTATATCGGTCAGTAAACATATCCCGGTTACGCGGACGAAGTCACAGGTAGCAACGAATCGTTGTTGTGTAATATAACTGCCGTGTGGTTCCCACATAGAATAAGCCACCCCTTCCTTTTTGTGGATGTCGTAAGAGGCGACTAAGGGTGGGCGAGGCTATAGGCTGCAGCGTCTCTTTTAAAACATCTCCAAAGCCTAACTGCGTTTGCCAATTTGCGTGCCAAGCGTGGCAACTATTGGCAAAACCTTCCAAAGGCTGATATGTTGTTGATCATGATGTGTAATGTAAATTCGATTAGTAACCTAGTTTCCTATGATGCCCTCCCAACTGTCTATCCTCTCTCACCGTACCGTACAGTTTGTACGTATAACTTCATCACTTGTAAATCGATTTGGAGGGGGGAAAGGGATTATTAGTAATAGAGTCTAAATGACCCATTGCCAGCAATACACCCTACCAGGTCGACGTCCACGTGGTTTCCCTTGGAAACCATCGTGGTTAATTCTAGTGGAATTCGTCACGATGGACTAAGTGACCTGCTTTCATCGTCACTTATTATCCTTCACTGGCGCCTCGCCAGTGTTAACCGATTGCGCATGCGGGGTTATTATAATATTATCATCGATTAGAAAAAAAAAACCGATTTGGAAAATTCTTTTTTTTTATCTGAAAGAATATACATACACATTATTCCTATAGAGATTTTATTAAAACCAGTTTGATAGTTTAGTTTTGAAATGAAAATAGCCGATTTTACCACAATTGAAGTAAGTTTTTTTTTAGGACACAATCTTTTATAAAAGTCTGTTGACAACTGTGAAATTATAGATAGATAGATAGATATTTCTATTTATTGTTTCCTTCAAAAGATTACAATAGTAAACTTATTCTAGATACTAGCAACCCGTCCCAGCTTCGCACTGGTGGACATTTCTACATTTTAAAAAGTGGCCATTGAGGCACACGCGATGGAAGCTTAAAAATGGAGTAACTTCTCCCGTTTTACCAACATTCCCCTTCACTGCTCTGCTCTCATTGATCGTAGCGTGATGAAAAGTATACTATAACCTGCCCAGGAGTATGAAGAATAATTGTACTAAGTTTCGTTAAAATCCGTTGAGTCGTTTTTGTTTCTATAACGAACATACAGACAGACAGACAAAAAATTTACTGATAGTTATTTTGGAAATATATTTTATGTACAGAATTGATCTCTCTACAAATTTAATATAAGTATAGATAAACAATTACGAGTACAAGAAATAATCACAATGAGAAAACAATGGGCGACCTTATCGCTAAGAGCGATCTCTTCCAGGCAATCTTTGGATGGAGAGGAGTAATTATAAACAGTTATTATAACATAATTATAAATGAATATATAATTATAAGGATGTATAAGATTATGAATGGAAATAAAATAAAATAAAATAAATTAAAGCAAGCAAGTAAATATGTTAAATACAGAAATATTATAATAAATAATTAATGTCAAATATTTAATCTTTTTAACAAATATTCCTTTGTAGACTGTGACTTGTTTGTTGGCAATTTAAAAATAATTAACGCCTTTTAATTAAGAGTAAATTCGTTGTTGAGAGATGTACTTTTAGCCACCTTAAGACTTGACCTCGTTGAGCGTCTTTTTACTCTTGCCACCACTGATAGTGTTTTGAAGAAATCTTGGTTTAAATTTTACTACACTGTACTTTTTTTTGATGAGTGAAAATGGTATGGTAACCCCACCTGCGCTAATATTCGCTGGCGGAGCACCAGTGAAGGGTGATAGATGAGAATGAAAACGTGGAATAGTTAGCCCATCATGCTGAATTCATCAGGAATTAACCACTGATAGTTTCCAGGGGGAACCGCGAGGAGGTCGACCTGGTATATTGCAAGCAATGGGATTCTCAGTCTCCATTACTAACAACCCCTTTCCCCCCACTACAGTGTATTAAAATATAGAAAGATTTAAAGCTTTTTTTTATTGGATAAAAATATAATGGTAACATCATTGTCATTTATATTCAGCAATGGACTGTGTGTGCGTGTGCGTGTGCCTGTCGTGTGCGTGTGCGTGTCACACCAGGGGCAGGCGTCTGCATATATGCGCGTCTTGAGTGTGCGTGCGCGTGCGATATATATCTATATATATATGCGTGTGCGTGTGCGTGTGCGTGTGCGTGTGTGTGTGTGTGTTGTGGCAATGACAAAATGTAGTGTAAAAAAAATTCATGCATAATAATGGAATAGTAACTTCACTGTCACATTCCACCCATCAACTAACTAATTTAATAGCCAAGGGATGGGCAGGAGCAGGGCAGTTCTCTTGAAACATCTTCAAAGCCTAACTGCGGTTGTAAACTCATTTGCCAACGCGTGGCAACTAGTAGCAAACCCCCCTAATAGGAGGATAAACACAGAAATGTTTATAACAATATTAAAAATATTTATAGGTACAGAGATGACAAACAAATTTACATACGTTACATACCAGAGGGAGACTTTGTACAAAAGTCGATTGCTTGGGTACTTCTTTCCCATTAGTGTTTCAACCGTGAAGCAGTTGTGTTTGCATGGCTGTGTTTCGGTTTGAAGGGTGGGATATGGCGTGAATTTACTGAGTACAGAGGTATAACACCTGAGTATATATATAATAAATAATATATATAAAAAAATATATTTACATAGTACCGCGAGGATCATTTCTCTGACGAATAGTCGTCTTCAGTACGATTTCAAAAGAGTTTCCTTCTGCCAAGACTCAGGTTGTTAAATAAACATATTACTAAGGTTTCCCTTAGAGATTACGTATGGGGTTTTTTCAAAAGGGCGTGTTAAGGGTTTTTTTAGTGTCGGATACACGCTAGTGATACCCGTAGTGTATTGCTGTCGTAACGTTTTTTTTTTTATACAACTTAGAATGGTCAGCAAGCTGACGGTCCACCTGATGGAAAGTGGTAACCGTCGCCTATACCATGGACATAACAAAGTGTATTGTTTCGCCCATGATACCCCCCATGCGTTGCCATTCCTGAGGACTCAGATGTTATTCCTTTGTACCCTGTAAATTCACGCCATATCCCACTCTTCAAACCGAAACGCAGCCATGCAAACACAACTGCTTCACGGTAGAAACACGAATGAGACAGAGGTACCCAAGCAATCGACTTTTGTACAAGTCTCCCTCTGGTTCTCCTCTACATTTATAAGTCCCTCACAACATTTATAAATTAAATGTTAATTTAAAGTGGGCCGTCAGCTTGTTTGCCATTCTAAGTGTTATAAAAAAAAGAGCAAGGGTGAACTTATCTCTGACAGAAATCTCTTCCATTCAACCTAATACAGTTGGAAAGCCTATCTTTCGCAGGCAGCTAAAGTCGTACAACTATTAATATTTAGAATACATAAACAAATATACAGTTAAATGAAATAATAAATTATATAATATTACTAAATTATATAAAATTATTAAAGATACTACGAATATAAATAAATATAATACCTACTTATTTATATAATAAATGCTAAAATAAATTAATACACTACCTACATTAGAAATTTAGTTTAATAATTTTAGGATTTGACAGTTCAATTAGAAAGATAATAAATTAATTATGTCTAATAAGTAATACTAATGGTGCAAAACTTTCTCAGGTTTCCTCAACCCTCGATCGGATGATTACCCTCGGTCGCCAGCCAACTACGGCCTCATGGATCAGATCGCAGCACTGCACTGGATCAAAGAGAACGTTGCGGTCTTCGGCGGTGATCCAACGAACGTGACGCTCATGGGTCACGGTACTGGGGCGGCTTGTGTACATTTTCTGCTGACTTCATTAGCTGTACCTGAGGGTGAGTTTTAGTGTTTTTAATTTTAAAGACCAGAGGGAGACTTTGTACAAAAGTTGTTTGCTTGGGTACCTCTGTCCCATTCGTGTTTCAAACGTAAAGCAGTTGTGTTTGCATGGCTGTGTTTCGATTTGAAGATTTGGGATATGGCGTGAATTTACTGGGTACAGAAGAATAACATTTGAGTCCTCAGGAATGGCAACGCTTGGGGGGTATCATGGGCGAAACAATATACTCTGTTATATCCACGGTACTGCTCATATCTATAGGCGACGGTTACCACTTTCCATCAGGTGGGCCGCCACATTGTTTGCTATTCTAAATTGTATAAAAAAAAGGATCCTTAGAATCCATCGACTTTTAGACATAGGTCTTTCTCTATTTATAAATTTAGTCTTTACTAGCATTTATCTGCGTCCTTCTTAAAACAACTCTGAAGCCCAACTGCTTATGTTCAGCGGTGGGCAGTTAAAGGATGCTATGATAGCATTTATCCACGACACGTCCGCGTGACTGGGATCTGTTTACTAATCGGGATAAAACGTAGCCTATATCCATCCCATGTAGTATGTGTACGCCAAACTTCATAGTGTTTGGTTGACTTTCTTCTACGTACAACCACGCTTTAGGATCAACTTCCAGCAATAGTATTTCCGAAACGATTCGACATCATAACCTTCAAGAAAGGAGCATATTCCTTTTTAAAAGGACAGCCGCACACCTGCACTGCTTCTGGTATTGCGGGTGATTATGGGCGATGGTAGTCAGTTACAATCAAGTGAATCGAATGCTCGTTTTGCACTCTGTGTTATATAAAAAAAAACATGAATTCAAAAGTTTGTATTACACGGGAACCGAACCCGACATCATTGGATGATATGGCGATGTCTTAAACCACAATATCAAGGTCATCAAACAAAATCGACAATTATTATTATGAAAAACAGCCATAATAATTTTGTTATCATAACTGTTTTTATTATATATGCATAAGGTTTACTTTACCATACATTTGTTTGTGTTAACCATCCTACATAAACCGTCGTTTCGTTGTATTTTCCCTCCTGAGTTTTGTTTATATTTGTATCGTTATATAATTTTCCATTCATCAATTCCCGGTATCTACACCTTGTTATAATTGTAAATATTGCCCTTTCATATGGTTAATTAAACAACAAAATACCACAGATACTCTTTATTGTTTCCTCCAAAAGATTACAGTAGTTAAACTTATTATAGATACAAACAATTACAAGAAATGATCACAGTGAGAGAACAATGGGCGACCTTGTCGCTGAGAGCAGTCTCTTCCAGGAATCCTTTGGATGGAGAAGAGTTAATTATAAACAGTTTGATTGGAGCCACGAAATATTTTTATTTAAAAAAACACATAACGAATGAATGAATGAATGAATGAATGAAAACTCTTTATTGTTCCCTTCATAGAGTGATACAGATTATAAAGGTTAACAATATGTACAAAACCAAAATTAATATTTAATTATATAAAAGCAAAATAAAGAGGCAATAATGGCCAGCCTTATTGCTAAATAGCGATCTCTATCAGGCAATAGCGTAATAAAGGTATAACAAAAAAATAATAAGACTAGAAAAGTGGGAAAAGGGCTAAAGATAAATTTAAACGCAGTATAAACAATATAAATCAACTTAAACATAATAATAACAATATAAATCATATATATATATATATATATATATATATATATATATATATATATATATATATATATATATATATATATATATATATACATCTCTTAAACAAAAACAAATATTTATTTATTTATTTTATTTTTACACTTTATTGATAGATAGATAATTTATTTGCATTACTTACAGCACACAAACTACTATAGACATAGATGCACAGTGAAAAAAAAAAAAAAAAATATATATATATATATATATATATATATATATATATATATAATAATACCTCACCCACCCTTTATCTTTTTTCTGAATGTTCTCAACCCAAAAGTTGTCTAGAAAAGATTGCTGAACGATAAGACCGCCTTTTGTATCATATCTCAGTAAAATGTACTGTATTTATTACATTTAATTGATGCAATAAATTGCAATGAATGCAACTGCAAAAAATAAAAATAAATAGATAAAATTCCAATTTCCACTTTTTGTGTAAAAAATTAACAAACAGCTTTACATCTGTCCACGCAAACTTTTGCATTTCTAACAATAATATTAGTATAATAGAGAAATAACCCGTCCAATATGATAGTCAATAGAAATGGTCCAATTGAAGATCGTGCACCATTATCAACCGCACTTGATGCCATGCAAACTGCAGAATGCACAATATTATTTCGTGCAATGGTCTCGGGACCAGTACTGAATAAATGAGATGAGAATGCGCCATTTAAAATGCGATGTATTTATTCAAACGGCATTCACGGAAATGCTAAGCATTCGCAATATTCGTCATATTTTCAAAACTAATTTTTCTAGAAATTCCTCGTTGTTACCGAGAACTTTTATGCTCGGCTCGTATGACGCTGATTAAACACGTACCCTTGTTGTTACGTTTCTGTATAGTTTTATAACAGTAACCTTTACCGTTCACCGTCGACCACCGAACATCGTCGATCGTTCTTCATAGCTGAAGTTGCGTTCTAAACGAGCGGGAAAATAATGGAAAAATTACTATTCAAAAATACTTAAGTTTACTTCAATAAGGATATTTAATTTTTCTTCTCTCTTCTTTCTTACATTATATTTAATATTTTTTTATACCACTGAGGTGGCAAACAAGCATACCGCCCACCTGATGGTAAGTGGTTACCGTAGCCTATGAACACCTGCAATACCAGAGGTATTACGCGCGCGTTGCGACCCTGAAGAAACCTCTTTACCCCTTTTTTGAAGAATCCCATGCTGTAGTCTCTTAGGAAAACCTCGGCAGGAAGCTCATTCCACAACCTGAATGTTCGTGGGAGGAAACGTGTCTGAAACCGCGCAGTACGCGACCATTGAGGCTGTAGGACATGAGGATGAGTTCTCTGTCGATAGCGAGCCGTACGATGGTAGAAAGTGGCTACGGGCATCAATTCCTCTAAGCACAATCCCACACGCAGAGTGAGACAAAATCTCTCCTAAGACTTAAGGGTTCGATACCGCTTGTGAGCCTGGGATCATCGACAATTCTCATAGCTCGTCGTTGCAACGAGTCGAAAGGTTCAAGCTGGTATTTAGGTGCTCTGGCCCATAAGTAACAACAATACTCCATGTGGGGCCGGATTTGCGATTTGTAGAGCATTAATCGCTGATAATTAGCAATTAATATCAAACTGATTACTATTTGGTAACTTATAGGTAATTATTCTTTACCCATGACTTTAACGGCGTACCCAGTAAAATTATTTCACTGATATAAAAGTAGTCTATGTACTTTTTCATCTCAAATAGTACCTATATAAGAAATTTAACATCAATAGGTTAAACTGTTAAAGCGCTCTAAAATAACTAACAAATAAACAAATTTGGTCATGGCATAGGACGGGCCACCCCTTCCTTTCCCGTAAGTGTCGTAAAAGGTGACTAAAGGAACATAATGGACAAAGAATAGACAAGTGTCTCTCTTAAAACGTCACCAAAAGACAAACTGCAGTTGCCAACCATTCTGCCAAGCGTGGCAACTATTGGCAAAACCCCGCCAGGTCTACATTCAACAGTGGATGTGGAAGACCTATATCTAATCTATTTAAAATTGGGTTTTAATAAACTCTCTTATTTCTGACTCGAAGTGCTTCTGTACTCAATATGGATTATAGATAAAGCTTGGCTTTAAAATATCACATAGAGCAATGAATATTACTGTACCCGTTTTGAAATATTGAAGTGTATATCACGTCGCATTTTATTATTCTGTAAGAATATTTCCAATTTTGTATTCCCTTATTCAATCTTCGAGAGTTGGAGATTTGTCGGCGGAGCGTCTTTTGGTGGAACTGTAACGACAACTCTAATTCCGTGTCGTAATTTTGGATTTGTAAATTAAATTCGATATACATGATTAATGGTAATGTGCTAAAATTTTATATAACACTAAATTATTAATTTATTTATTTTAGAAAAGAAAGGGTGGCCCGTTCTTTACTGTGTGGTCCTGGCATAGAATGGACCACTCTAATGAATAGAATAGAGAATGGTCGAAGGATGGGTAGCAGCGTCCCTTTTAAATATCACCAAAGCCTATTTGCGGTTGCCAAACATGGCAACTACTGGCAAAACTCCCCTTATGCGGAAGGCTTATATTTGGCAGTGAATTGTTAACGACTGGAAATAATAATTTAATACTTTGTTTCACCAATATCATATAAATTGTTCAAAAATTTTTAATAAGTGTAATACAAAAGGTGATCTTATTGCCAAGCAATTTCTTCTAGACAATTTTTGGTAGAAGGAATTAAAGAATCAATGGTATATCCATTATTATTTTTTTTTATTATAATTATATATTTTAATAGATAATTATCAATATATATATTTTTTTTTTTTTTTTTACAACACAGGGGGCAAACGAGCATGCGGCTCACCTGATGGTAAGTGACTACCGCCGCCCATGATCACCCACAACACCTACGGCATTGCAGGTGTGCTGCCGGATTTAAAAAGGAATATGCTCTTTTCTTGAAGGTTATGTTGTCGTATAATCTGCTGATAATTGGGAGAAAGTGCCTTGAAAAACGCACGGTGGAGGATACTTGTCAGATGGTTGGGATGAAATGAAATTTTAGTTTATGGCGGGTTGTGGAAAATCTTATATCAATCCGAACAATTCTTCTTTAGAAAATGCACAGACATCATCTGACTTTAACGACGTAAGACGCCGATCGTAAAATTATTTCACTTTGATATAAAAGTGGCGCTCCTATGTACTTTTTCAGGCGGTTTAGTGAAATATATAAGAGCACCCCCAACTTTTTGGAATTTATCAGCTTTTTCCTCCAGATGAGGTTAAACCG